CTACTAAGGATATGGAGGAAGATGAAAGACTATAGGTTGCAGGGCCATTACCAGCAGATGATAGAGTCAGCAAGTCACCTCATCAACCACCACAGGCAAAACTGTGGAGACTAACTCCAACAATATTTTTTAGACTTATTATGTGTGAAAAATTAGTCATAGTTATGTGTAGTTATTAGTATATTCAAGGTATTACATGCTCTTGGCATATATTTCAGCCTTACAAACTTTTTAAATAACACATGAACTTTGATGACCTTATTACTAATAAACCATGGTGACATGGTCATTGGCCCAATTTTTGAGCAGCTTTAAAAATTCATAAAAAATCCAATTTCAATAGGAATCCGCTAAAACTTTCTACACAACATAAGAACATGTATATGCATCAGAAAAAATATAAAAATAAGGAATTTTATCCTAGTCATTTTTTGTGAAATTTAGCCAAAATCACTGTACTATAGTACAGGGACTTTGGCCCAATTTTGGAGCAACTTCAAAAATTCATAAAAAATCCAATTTTGATTAGAATCAGCTCAAACTTTCTACACAACATAAAAACATGTATATGATTCAGAGAAAAATATAAAAATAAGAAATTCTCTCCTAGTCATTTTTAGTGAAATTTGGCCAAAATCACTGTACTATAGTACATGGACTTTGGCCCGATTTTGGAGCAACTTCAAAAATTCATAAAAAATCCAATTTTGATTGGAATCCGCTCAAACTTGCTACACAACATAAAAACATGTACATGTATCAGGAAAAATTATAAAAAATGAAGAATTCTCTTCTAGTCATTTTTGGCAAAATTTAGCCAATGACCCTGTAGTACAGGGGCTTTGCCCCCCCTTGAGCTAATTTATTTCATTAGCTTTACACACAACATATCAATTAGCTCCCTGACTACAGCCAGGCAGGCTTCAAAAACCACTATATTATCACGTTATTAGTACTAGCATTACATAAAATATTACCACATATATGTACGCTCAGTGTATCCTTCCTTTCTTTGCCCCTAGAAGAGAGAATAAGCTAAAAACTTGCTATGCGAGTCTGTCATAATACAACGTAGCTCCTCATAATTATAATTTAATAAAAATAATAAGAACAACAATAACAACGACAAATAACAATAATAATAACAACAATAAAAGATTAATAATAGTAATAATACACTAACAGTTAGTAATCAAAAAGGTCAGCATACTCCTTCACACCCCAGCACTGGAAGACAGGAAGAGGAGCAGCAAAATGATTGAGAACAGGATGAATGAGAGGAGGCAACAGGACCAGTGGTAGGAAATACGAGCGGGTCTTGACGTCCGACCATTCGGTTAATGAAAGGATCCCACAAGAGAGGAGTATGATGGAACCAATGACAATGAGCCACTCAATACCAAGTATGTATACTTTAAACGTGTTCTATGAAAATAAATAATCAAATAAAAATATTGACAATGTTCTACTTAAGCATAAAAGTTTGATTAGTAATTCTAAAATGAAATGCATATTATTTGCAAAAAATACCGGCTCAATATTAATTGTAATTGACTCACTGACCTTCATATCATCAAATTTATATATGTGCAATGAGGTAGAGAGAACAGCAAATGATCCAATGGCAAGAATTATTGTCACATAATCAAAGGTATAATCTAAACAGAGAGAAACAAAAGAAAAAGGATAGAGAGAGAGAGGGAGAGAGAGAGA